TATATATATCTACCTAACTAATTGCAAAGGCGGTGGACACAAGATGTTGAGAGCTGTGACGCTCCTCCATGCGAAAAATATGCACCTTAATTCATTTAAATCTGCTTCATTAATTTTGACAAATTAATACTACAAACTAATTAAATGTTTCCTGTGCCACATGTGACGCCTCCTGCTCACTATTCTAAAAGTAGGCTTAGGCGGTCGTCTAGGTAGCGCCTAGGCGCTAGGCGGTGCTCGGACACCTCCGAATTGCACAAATCAGCTAAAAAATCGGCCAGGCAGCTAGGCGCTCCTAGACGGCCTTGACGGGCTCAGCAGCCAGGCGGTTAGACGGCGCCTAAACTCCGCCTAGGTGCTCTAGGCGCTAGAGGCTGGTCGAGCGTCTAGCGACTTTTAGAACATTGCTCCTGCTGCAACTGGGCGGTCCGAATTTCTTGTTATTGTAAAAAAAAAAAAACCAAAAGTATTATAAATACTAATTTTACATAAAATTGATGAAAAATGTTATGGAACAATTTTTTCGCGGCAAAGAAGCCGTTATTCATCCGTTGAAAATTGATTATCAAATAGTCAGTCTCTCTAGAATCAAATTATTATGAAAACAAATAACTATATACAATATATACAAATTAAAGTCATTGAAATATTATAAATATTTTATGACTCATCACATGCATGCTAGTAGGTCATGAGCTATTTGGATGACACAAATATTCCGTTTTTTTTTTTTTTTGGGCAAAATAAGTACATAGTTTTGTGATGGGTAATTTTTCATTCATGATACCCAAAACTTTGATACTACTGATTAAATAAAGAACTTGTATGGTAAGGGTGTTATTTGAGCTACGTCGAGCCGAGTAGCTAATATTTAAGTTTATGCTTGTTTAATACACGAGCCGACTAAGCACAGCTAGTCGGCTCGTTTAATAAACCAACAAAAGGTTAATTTGATTTGATCCGATCGTTCTAAATGAATATTAATTTGCGGACACCAAATATTCATATGCAATTATGTTTTAGTAATTTCAATTAAAATAAACTAAAAAAAATAGATTAAAATGAGTCACGCTCGAGCTTCGACGAATCGAGCATAGTTGCGTTCGCAAATAGTTTTGTTCGATATAAAACAAATTCCGCATTGATAATTTCTAGAGCCAATTTGTAAACACAAATTATTGTATGAATTAGTTTAGCCGTTAGATGAATCGACTCATCATACTATTTGAATACTTACAGTGTTACACTATCAAATGTCATACTTTTTTATTTGTATTAAAATATGAAGTTTTCTAATGAAAGTATGTATTGTTGGATAAAGCCGACAAATGAAATGATAACCCCATTTGAAATATTCACCTTCTCTATTTTGCCGTTTGAATTGAATCCCAAAAAAAGGAATTTATCAAATAATAAATAAATAAATAAAAATCCCAAAAGGGTAAAACTGTAAATCGAGTTAAAGCATTGACTGATCCTTCCACTCCTACCCCTACGGCTACGTATCCCTTTCAATTTAATATAATACTAATTTTATTTTATTTTATTTTGAATGGGACTCTCAAAATAGACGTTGGCCTTTTGGCACCTGGCATCCAACTTCACCTTACACCTTTCAAAATCAAATCTTGCTCTTGTGTTTATGTTCTTTTTACACACACACACACACACTGAACACAGCTTAATAAGAGGATACAAGAAACAGAAAACCAGTGTGCCCATTGAGGTTTGATGGCATTTGATTAAGGAAACTGTTTTCGAAACAGGAAAAACCCAGCAAAGATTGTTCCTTTTTTTTTTTTTTTTTTTTTAAATGAATTAGTCCCTTTTTGGGTGATTTTTGTTTGGCTTTGTGTTTAAATGGGAAGTGTGGGTAGGAAGAGCGAGAAGAAAGATGGGCGTGAGCTGACTAGTGATGACTCGGTGAGCGAGTCGAGAGCGAGCAGCCGTACCAGTCGCTCTGAGAGTCGATCTACTTGTGGTGATAATTCTTTGGGTTGGCCTATCAGAAAAGCTGCTAATTGCTTGGGAGATGATGGCTCCCATGGAAAAACCAAGCCCCCCCAATTGGCCGATGATTTTGGGTTGAAGAAGAACAAGGGCTCAACAGATTCAGGTCAGTGAGAAAATATAATAAAATTTTGATCTTGGAGTAACAATTTTTGTGTGAGCATTAACTAATGAACAAGATGCTTGGTTGGTCATGAAGATGTTCTTAAATGAATCTAGCTGGCAGGGAAAGACTAGCTTCAATCTTCATAGTATCAAAATTGGTCATCCCATGATTTGTAATAATTCTTTCTGGTGGGGTTTTCTTGAATTGAATTAGAAACTGAGATGATGAAAGAACGGTTCGCGAAATTACTGCTCGGTGAGGACATGTCGGGAAGCGGTAAAGGGGTTTGCCCGGCGTTGGCCATTTCTAATGCCATCACCAATCTCTGCGGTGAGCAAATCATACCTTGCTCTGCAAACCCTTCTGTCTGAGTTAGTGCACAGCTGTATTCTAAATGTGCCATTAATAATACTGTCCTAATTTATCATGTAGCTACTGTCTTTGGGCAATTGTGGAGATTGGAACCTTTGCCGGTCGAAAAGAAGGCAATGTGGACGAGAGAGATGGAGTGGCTACTTTGTGCCAGTGACTACATTGTTGAACTGAAACCATCTTGGCAAACATTTCCTGATGGAACTAGGCTCGAGGTAGTTCCTTGTCCAACTTTTCATTACCTTTAACTAGTGCCTTATTTTGTTCTATATATATGCTGTAATGTCTTATAATAATGGCTAATTGTCTTATAAATTGAATTCGGTTCCACTCTAGGTGATGACTTCTAGGCCAAGATCGGATCTTTTTATTAATCTCCCAGCTCTGCGTAAACTCGACAACATGTTACTAGTAAGAGTCGAAAGTTGTCTTGTTTTTTTTTCTTTGTTTAGTATTCTTGTTGCTGATAATTATTCTTGTGTACAATATTGCAGGAGATACTTGATGGGTTCACAGATACGGAATTTTGGTACGTAGATCAAGGCATAGTGGCACCGGAGGCTGATGGGTCAGCCTCTTTCCGAAAAGCTGTTCAGCGGCAGGAAGACAAATGGTGGCTGCCTGTGCCACGTGTCCCCGCAGGCGGTCTTCCTGAGGCCACGAGAAAGCAATTGAGTAACAAGCGTGAATTCGCAAATCAAATACTTAAAGCCGCTATGGCTATCAACAGCATTGCTCTAGCTGAGATGGATGTGCCCGATTCGTACCTGGAAACTCTTCCAAAGGTTTCACTGATAACCTCAAAAAATCCACTTTTTTTATTTTTACTATGAAATGTCTTTACTCTTTAGAAATCGCTATTTTCAAAGTTAATAATTAATGTTTGAATTACAGAACGGGAGAGCGTGCCTAGGGGACATCATCTACCGTTACATAACGTCCGAACACTTCTCATCCGAGTGCCTGCTCGACTGCCTCGACCTCTCCTCCGAACACATTGCCCTGGAAATAGCAAACAGAGTGGAGGCAGCAATTTACGTTTGGCGCAGGAGGGGACACCACCCCAGGCCCCCGCCCCACTCGACCCGATCTTCCGTCAAGTCATCGTGGGAAATCATGAAGGATTTCGTGACAGATGGCGACAAGAGGGAGCTGCTTGCGGAACGGGCCGAAACCCTCCTCAATTCCTTGAAACAACGTTTCCCGGGCCTCACACAGACAACCTTGGACACCTCCAAAATCCAGTGCAACAAGGATGTTGGGAAGTCCATTCTCGAGAGCTACTCTCGAGTCCTGGAGAGCCTGGCGTTCAACATAGTGGCCCGCATCGAGGATCTGCTCTATGTGGACGATATCACGAGACAGTCGGACAAGCTGTCATCGGGTGGGCCCACTCTGGGCCTGATCTCCCGCCCGCTGGCATTGGTGCCCGTCTCGGGCACCCCGGCGCGAACAACAGCATACTCGACCCCGAGATTCTCCCCCGCCGGGGCCCCGCTGGTGAGCCCTGCAGGGGCAGGCGAGCGGACGCCCTTCCTTGGGGCCAACTGCAACAAGCTTCCGCGCCGTGGGCTCGGGGTGAAGCGGGCCCTCACGAACTACCTCGGGGGAGGTGGTGGTGGGGGGGAAGGGAAGGTGAGGTCGGCGGGGAGTATTTTGGAAGGTGGGGGGTCTGGTTCGGTTTCCAACAGAGTTGTTGTTACTGGTGGTGAAGGGGCTGCTGCTGCTGCATTGTCACGTGTAAGCATCCAAGGGAAAGAACGGGGGGCCATCTGTGGTGGGCCCGTGACCAGACAGATGGACCGGTAGAGAAGGAACCGACTGTGTTCTTCTCTCTCTCTTATCTTCTTTTTTTTTAAGCAATGTTTTCACAAGAATGAGGACTTTTTAGGTATGTGATGTGTAGGCGTCGTGTGTGTTGATTGATTTGTTGTTACTCATCAGTTGTGTGTTGTTATATCGAGCGAATTCTGTGGTGCTCCAACCAAATGCGCTTGCATTGTATACAAATGAGGATGAGCCTTCCTTCAGTTGTTTGGTTATTATAAGTTATAACATAAGCACAAATTCAAGAGGGCATTCAGGACCGCCCTCGGATTTGTATTAGTTGTCTTCATCCACTGTTGGGAAGCCGACAGTAGGTGAGGTGAAGCAGGATATCGTCTAGATGTCGTTCTTATATTCATCTTCTTCTCAGTTTTTCTGTTGTCTGAAAAGGGTTCTGTTATCCCTGATTCAAGTCCACTGTTGTGTTGCAGCTTGTAAGCTACAAGTGAAGAATTTTTCTGTATTCTGACAAGGGTTCTATTGTCCCTGATTTAAAAAACCCACTGTTGTGTTGCAACCTGCAACTTGTAAGCTAGAGGTGAAGAAACAGTCCAGTCAAAGAAGAAGAGATACGTAGGTTGAAATGTTGGGGACACAGAGAATTGGACCATGCATTTGTGTAGGAAAAAAAAAAAAAATAGCTAAATTGGGGCATTCCGAGAATTGAACTCGGGACCTCTCGCACCCTAAGCGAGAATCATACCACTAGACCAAATGCCCTTAACATGAACTTCGGCTAATTGTAATTTAATTACTTAAACAAAATTTCAGTTTTACAGAATTCTCAGCGCAAGATGACACTGTCAATTTAGAAATAACTTCTGTAAGTAAAGTTTCTTAATTTGAATTTTGTTCAGAAGCCTTTCATATTGGCTAAGTTCATTAAAAACAAAAAAAAAAATTGAGTTACTAAAATGACATTTTCCTCTTCATTTTGCATTTTGCTCTAAACTAAACTAACGAGACAATACACGTGAAAACATGAACAGTTTGTTGCACCTCATTTTTAAGTAAACTAATGATTTCGATCAATATTAGCTCTTCTTGTTCATATATCATTGATTCCTTTATTGCTACCTTTCCCTAATATATCGGTTAGTCATTTTTTTTTTTCAAACAAATTCATAGTTGGCAATATGGTCTCCAAACGGTTCTCTGAGCAATAACAAATTCATCGATGTCAGTTTGATCATTGAAGAGTTCTTGAACAATGAAACAACCGTGAACGAAAAATACGAGGCCTTTCGTCACGTGAAGTTTTATATCCTCATAACATCGTTACGAGGAACTGAAAGGATCAATAGAGCGTTCGGGGCAAGACAATTGTTCAATTGCTTACTGAAGCTGACACAGTTTATATGTGGTGACTGAACTTTGTAGGCGATATTCTGAATGGATCGGGCATTACTTTTGCCGAGTTGTGCAGAACACAAATCAAAATGTTACTAACTATATTGACAATGTATAGGTGTGGTCGGACGGTAGGCTCGGGTCGACACTAGAAAGTTGTTGTTTGGCTACGATGTGATTGTTGTGCTTGCTCATCAACAACTGATTCTTCTGAAGATTTTTGTTGCTATTTTTACAAGCTATTCACACCGACATTGTAGGACTCATCTAAATATGGGATCTAGGATTTCCTAGCGTGCTTGCTTGAAAGCATCAACAATAAGCATTGCCCATGAAGTTAACTCTTCCCCGTCTTGTGCAAAGGATATATATACTAGTTGAAAGATTTATTTTCCGCAATAAGTTAAAAAAGAATATATTCTTGCAAACAAAAGGAATTTAAGGGAAGATCTTTCATTTATTTAGTTTATATATATGTATATCGGTTTCTATATATCTTGTATATTGATAAGATTTTGTATGATCTTATTTCCGATTATGTTTGGCTGGTGTGCATGAAATGGAGATCCGCATACTTGACGTTAAAGAAAAGAACGAGAGAGAAGGATATTGAATTACAATGTCTGAACCATAACATTTGGAAGGAAATCACAAATAGAAGGAAATTTCTTGGAGTAGATTTCACGCTTAAGGAGTCTACATATACCCATATTGAAGATCAATTGCAGGTTGCTGAGATTGTCATCATTCACATATTACTTGAGCATTCAATTGAGAGTTCAAGTTTTTGTTCTTAGATTTTATTTTGTTGTTCAGTTCTTCAGTGTTCTTACACCATCAAAGAACTGAGGTTGTTTTCTTTAGTTTTTTTATACTTTCTTCACAAACTTTATTTTAGTACTTAGGAATCAATAGTACTGGGTTTGCTCGAGGGATTTGAATGTGTAAAGTCCACAGGACGTGACCAGAGAAGTAGTTGATAGGGTCGAGCATAGTATTGACTAGGCTAGAAGGGAGTTATAGTTGTATAAGTTCGAACTATACACGAGTGCACTACAGTCGATCTATTAATGAAACATCTCTGATGAGTAGTGGGACTCTCCTTGAAGAGTTTTTACTTTTTGTTTGTGCTTCCGCTATTTTACTTATTCTGGTGTTGCAACACAGATTGAAAACCATTTTGTGTTCTAACACAACTGAGCACACTCTACAAGTATACCTATGTTTCACTAGTGACCACAAGACGGGGTGGAAATATGTGTTAGAGTAGAATGTCCAGCATCCCAATTTGATTGGATCTTTTTGTTTTTTTACTTGTGTTGTTATGTGATTATTAACAACGATAGAACATGTAATTACGTGGATAATATTGAATAATTTGGACGTAAAGCATGTAAGATTAGATCGACAATGGCCCCGGTCCGAGGTGAACCGAGGTGAAGAGCCGTGATGGGCTTTTACGTGTTGCTTAGTAAAGTGCTTACAGTTCGGAGAATTGTAAGAAAGTTCCATCCCTTTACAAATGTCATAGGTCCACTATTTATAGTAATTTCGGGTTGATACATGGGGATTTGTGTACTACTTTTTGAATAAAGTGGCTTTTTATGGGCGGTTTGAGGCAGGGGGCCCCCACGTAAATGATGACAGATCTTGTGGAGCAGGAGAGTCCTTCGTAGATGCCTTGTCACCTGCTTAAGGAGGTGACGACCTCGGTTCATGTTGTCCTCGGTGGATGTTGACCTCGGTAGTCGTTGATCACTTCGGTCTTTGGTGGTTCAGACCGGTTCTTTGGTGTTGATCGATGCGGTTCTGATTCACGTCGGTTTAACAGTTGATCGTATTTAATAGGATGCTTAAGACCTCTTAACAGCGTCTTTGCCGAGTCGGATGATAACAACTTGTAAAGACAATTGGCTGAAAATAATACTATTTTGAGGCATTGTTTTATCTTATGTGTTTGCATTTATTACATATTTGCAGTTATGATAAAATTCTTATATCATTATTAACTATGAGTCATGGTTGCACATTTGATGACAATCATGAAAAATGTCTTTAACACTACAATCTTAAATAAGTTCCAAGTCGATAAGTTTTTCAAGATAGGACATTGAAAAAATCGGGTAAGACTTGTGCATATGATGCATGTTCATTGGACGAGTATGTTGCATTTCATCAACATTAGTGTGTGGACGAAAATGCATATATACAAATGTTTGTTGGGAACAAGTTCATTGAACATGGCCCAATGAAAATTCTTAGCTGGATGTGTTTAAATGTCGAATAAGAATTTTCATGTAGTACATAAATAATTCCTGGACTTGAGGTACGATTGTAATCTTGTGCATGTTATGTTTTACTTTGATTTATCCTTTGATTGTTGAACAATCATAAAAGAGATATTTTGGGTAATGTATCATCAATGTGTACGGAGGTTTGTTTATGGAACACATAGAATTCAATACTTATTTGGATAAACATTGGTTGTGATTCAAAGACATTGTCAAGGCGGGATGAATATGGATTCGTGATACTTGAAATGAAATCATAGTTAACAAAAAATTAAACAATTGAAAACCCCAATTCCTTTCTGCCGTGACCTAGGCTTTTTTCTCCTCGAGCGAGCCTCCCTTCCGGTGGATCCAGTTATAGCACGATTGGCGAGCATCGGGCTCAGGCAAGGTTCGTCGGCCCGGGTGTGGTGGTTGTTCGCTCTTCTCTCCCCGTCATGGTTCCGCTTTTGTTGCCAAAGCGCCATGGCGGGTGAGCTCAAGGCAGGGGATGCCAAGCGCGGTGGCCGACGGTTGCTGCGAGTGTACATGGAGGCTTGTGGTGGCGGTCTGACCTTGGTCTGTCCCTTTTCCGACCTCCTCTGGTGCTGGGTAGGTCGGGACCTCCGGCGGTTGTGGCTTTTTGTCAACCGGCC